GGGACTTTAAAAAATGTCATTTAATATCGTGATTTGAGTAAATAAACTAATTTTAATATTTTGTCATTAATTTGCCTGAATATCCCTTTAAGAATAAAATATTCATTATAATAGAGAAGAAAAGAATCCCCATCGAAAGTCCAAAACATCAATATTAAAAATGTTGCAGGCTGGGTTTAATTGAGTCTGTTCATGGACGTTCCTGTCAGTACAACTACCGTCCACATCCCTTAGTACCGGCTTAAGCAAAAGTTATCATTTAAACATGAAAATGGTAAAATTTTGAATTAACAAACATCCGCAGATGTGTTGATGCGGCGGTTATTATGGAACCTTCAATGTGATACGCGATTGCCGTTCCAGAGTAATAGAAAGCGTGAACTCAAAACGAGATAACAATTGGCAAAACTAACAAAATGGACTTTTGAAAGGAGATCAGAGGCTATGCAGTTTAGATTTTTATGAATTATAAATAAGCGTTTTAGAGAAAACAAAGTCCCTAGAGACAGCCCATAACAGAAAAAATAAAATATTACGGTTTAATTGAGTCTGTTCATGGACGGTAGTGGTAAATGCATACCCCTCTGGCACCGGTTTAAGAAGTATACTATATTTAACTGTGTAATGGTGGCATACTAAAAATTAAAACAACGTAACTTAATTAACATGGATATAATTGAAAGCTTTAAGCATGTGCATTTAGCCTAGGCGAACAAACTTCAGCCAGTATTTCCTGTTTTGACTTCTTTTATTTTAAGTAAAACACAATACATGTGTTTAATATTGGAATATTGCTTTTATGGAGATTACAAACAACAGTGTGATTAATCATGCTAAGAGCATGTGGGCTAAAATGCCACCAATAAAACGCCTTACTTAAACGTATTAGCTGCTTTAATGCTAAAAACCTTTTAGCGATTGTAGAATTTTAAGCAACTAACAACGGTTAATCTCAAATAGTTACTGATACGTCGAATACTCAAATTTGATATGTCGTGTCATTAAGCGACTTGGTTTAAAGCTTTTAACATCTTTTACTCTAGATTAACATTTTGACGCCTGAATACACCTACACAAAAATTTGGCAAAACGGAAATGATACAAATAGTAACATACAAAATAAGCCGTTTAAATGTTTCTAAACAGAAGACGACAATTAAAATAGAGAAGTAAACAACAGGAATTCCTAAAGAACGCCGAGAATGACAAAATTGAAATTTTTGCAGGCTCGGTCTGTTCATGGTCGGTTCTAAGAAGTGCAAGTACTGTCACTGCAACCTAGCATTGTCTTGAGCAGAATCATTCAATGGGATATTAATCGAATCTGTAGAGGTTATCGGGCTGGCAATATCTACTTCAATCCGGATACATATGTGTCATTTGTTTAATTTTACCAAATAAATCTTCTAGGCGATATTCTTTATATTTCTTAAAGGGTGATACATCAATTATTTAACATTTTAGGGAATTGTTAATAATGCTTAGAATCGCGGACACGATTTGATTGAGTATGTTCATAACAGCTAAAATATATAGAACGCTCCTTTGCGCCGGCTTTAGTGGCATTCAATTTTCGGGCCTTAATGTATTAGAATCAACGATCAAATTGAACATTTTTACGGCAAATGAATTTGAGTTATTTTATATGTTTTAATGGCCGTTAAATCGTGACTAAGTTAACATGCATGTATGTATTATAATAAATCATCATGTTCGAGCAAATAAATGTATAAAGGTTAATGTTGGTACTTGACCAAAAGTATATATTTTAGCAAATATCTGTATGTTAGCAAATGTCTCCTTTTTTAAAAGCATATCGGAAACGCGTTATGTTGATATTTATGTAAAAATCATAATAATGTTTTCCTATTAACACGTACGTTTCATCTTTGAACTTTTTTGCATGATCATATTTCGTGATTTAATTTACAGGCATCTGGTAAAATAAAACGAAAGTTGTAATTTTATTTGCAATTCTATTTCATTTGTAGACCGAATTAAATTGTATATTAAAAAAAATGACTTGACTGTTGTCTCGAAACATAAACGATGGCTTAAAAACAACAGAGGTAATAGTATCAACAAAGTATGACTCAAACCAATGTTTTACAAACATTATATTTTCACATATCGTTTGGCTGTACAAGTAAGTTAAAATTATACCATTTAAAAGTAACTTATATGTGCAATTTTCGACTTTTTATTACGATTATTTCTATTGTATATATATATATACACAAGAGCATTGATGTATATAGAGCTACACAAGTCCAAGTGTGCAGATTTAAACAAAAACTGACTAAAGCTTTATATTGAGTATAGGTTTACTGAAAGAGGGAACAGATAAGATCTTGAATGAATGTCCTAAAATTGACAGAAAAATGCGAAAATAGATAATATTGATCAGGCCAATCAAAAGCAATTAAGTCTTAAACTGAAAATGACGTTACAAAGATTAAAAATAATGAATAATATAGATTTCACAATAATTATTGTGAATACAAATCTTGGAAAAAGGATAGAAATTTTATTATTTCCATGTCAATCAATCGAAAGTAAATTGACTGTCATTTTACTGGAAAATATACACTGAATTAGTTTACGTTTTAATCAAATCGATTATGATATAACTAGTGTGTCGTAAAGTACGTGTGCTTTCGATTAACATTAAATATGCCGTTCTAATTACCATGTTAATGTACAATTAGAATTTAAATTGTGAAATTAAATTAATTTATGTCGATTAAGGTTTTTATTTAGATTGAAAATCTCTACATGTCATAAGCTTTTTTTTAATTATCAATTCAGAAAAAAATATGCATTAGATATAATACAAATCAATAAGTTTGATGAGAAATAGTGATATGATTTACATTAAAAATCATCTATTTGATAATTTAGTTAGACTTTGCGTTAATAAAAAAATAAATAAATGAGCCGCCTCACGACAAAACCAACATAATGGGTTTGCGACCAGCATGGATCCAGACCAGCCTGCGCATCTGCGCAGTCTGATCAGGATCCAAGCTGTTCGCTTACAAACCTTTAAACAAGTAGAGAAACTGATAGCGAACAGCATGGATCCTGATCAGACTGCGCGGATGCGCAGGCTGGTCTGGATCCATGCTGGTCGCAAACCCATTATGTTGGTTTTGTCGTGACACGGCTCAAATATAATTTATCATTTCTTAAACAAGTAAGATAGTTATTGGAAATGTCGTTTTACCAAGTACCTAATAAAAGGAATACAATTTATCTTATATTTATAATTATGCTTTAAAGGATCTAAACTAGGACACCCGATGATACGTTTTAAAATTTCTTGTCAGGATTTTAATCTTTGCAACACTTATAGAGGAATTACTGAACAGATCAGGAATTCTTATAGCTCTATAAGAGAATTAACAAAATTGGTATAAAAAGATCCGTGTTGCAAAGATGATAATCTTGACAAAAAAATTTAAAACGTATCATCGGGTGTCCTAGTTTTGATCCTTTCTTAGAGTAAAATACAATCTTGTTTTAGAATAAAACAGTTCCGTGCTCATCCCCGGAAATATATACCTGCAGTTGTAAATAAGAATTTTAATTTTACTATTGTTAAGTACTGCTTTTATGTTGGTGTTAGGGCGTGGACTGTAAGTTGCATTTGCCACTAATGTCCATGAACAATCTTAATCAAATTTTGTCTATTTCGGATTCTTTTTTGTTTTCTTTATTTTTTTTTTCTATTTAGCGGATAGGTTTTAATAAGTAAGTAATAATAATGTTATTTTTTTTATGATTTTTTTACAGGTCCTCGGGATTCCGTATCTAAAAGAAATATTTTTGTGTTTTGCAGGTTAATTGAACATTTGAGAATGCTGCGTGCCTTTCATCTGACCATATAGTTATTGTTAAATTTTTTTTTTGGTTTGAATTTTTTGAATGTGTGAAGTATTGACGATTTTTCTTTATCGAAAAGAACTTCTGACGATGAATATAAAGTCGCATTTATGCTTTATATACTATTTCAATTACTTTAAAAGCAACTCTATTGAACTTGTTTCTTAGAAATGAAAAAAAAAAACGTATTACTCAGTTTAAATTTCTAAATATATGTGCTTAAAGATAATGGTATTCAAATATAATAAGTATTCTTAATTCTTACTGAGTACATTGTATAGAGGTATGTCTTCAAAGACTTTATTTTAATTTGTGTTTTTGCTCAAATGAAAATATTTTTACAGACTTTCTGCTATTTCTGTTACAGTTACTACTGATTCTCACTATTCGACACCTTCAGTGGTTATCATGTCAAGCGCAAAACATGAAGAAGTTTTGATTTCAAAAATATGTTTTATGATAGTTACTATAATAATAATTTTTAATACAATAATACTCTTCTAGTAGTCCTGTTCTTGTATGCGAACCATTCTGCTGAAGTTCTTTGCTCAATTAAATAAGATAAATGACGTGCTTATTTTCTTTCCTGTAATCTACGCTGATTGCGTGTAAACAGTGTCTATTTCGCTGGGGGGGATTACGATTTTTCTCGAAAAGTTTACAGAGTCGCTTGCAGTACTGACGATTATCAATACGAGGAGATTGCAGAAAGCTAGTTGAAATTTATTTGAATTTAAGTTTGAGTTTCTTTTCACATTTAAATTACTTCATTTTGTTTCGGGACGATTCATAATTATAAGTAAGATGTACTTTGCCGAAAAAAAAAATATCAATCATAGTTTTGATGTAAATTGTATTCTTAAGTATATCGTCAAAACAATTTTGTACATGCATTTTCAAAAGAGAAATGTTCATATTATGAACGATGTACAAGTTAAAAGAATACAACTAAGGGTTACCAAACATTACATAATTGGAAAGGTTGACTTTTCGTTTCAGGAGTATATTATTGGAAACATTGTTAAATGCAAGCCCCTGTCATCATTTTAAGCATATTCCAGCTTATAGAGTATAGATATGCTATAAACAAAGAATTAAACAACTAAACAACCACATAATTACACACTTTTATTTTTATAACTATTTTAACTCTCCGTTATATTTAAAAAGAAATAAATAGTTTGTAGGACCATTTTTATCATCAAAATGAATAATTTCATAAAATATGCTGCCTTGATATTTTGAAGTCGAAGATAGGTCAAATCAGCATCGTTCATTTTTCTTTATGTCTGCTTCTAGTACGTTATGAGTCTGGGGATGATTATTTTAGTGTGTTTTTTTTTCTTATGATGTCAGCTTGTATGACCTTATTATAGGCCACATCCAACTTTACAGGCAGCTTCGGTTGTAAAGACGTTTTTGCCCGATGCGTAACAACCTGTTTTTCGCCTGCATGCTCCTTGTTGATTTTTGTAAGTCCAAATTGTTGTCTTCAGACTGTCAGGACACGGACTAAATTGTGATACATCTTGACATTCTATAATATAAACAAGTTAAATAGCAAGGCTATAGGAATTTTGTTTGTACTTCTTGTTTAGTACTTCACAATTTTATCAATTGGTAAAATTATAATGATTTAAGCATAGTAAAAAACCGTCAATATAAGCGTACATTCAACAACGTATGTTCCTAAGTGTAGATTTGAAAACATACGTGTCTAATGAAAATTCGAAGTTCCTGAAACAGATTATTAACTTTGTATGTGTCAAATATAAATTAAAAACTATTAAGGTCCTAATGTAGATTTAGATACCATTTCTTCTGACTGTAGATTCTTAACATTATGTATCTAATGTATATAATTATTCAAAAATATTATAACCCTTATGTTGAATAATAATGTAGATTAGATATCCTTATGCTCCTAAAGTAGGTTTAAAAACTTTATGTTCCTCATTTAAAATAAAAACTTTATGTTCCTAATATGGATCGAAATCGAAATTTTTTTCTCATAAATAACTACTTAATATTGCAATCATGATTGTATTCAAACTATATTCCTGTATATCAGATATATTTAAAAAGTAAACTTACGCATGGCGTTTCCACTTACGACAGTCAGACACACCAAAGCAATAACGAGAAGACTTCCAATTTTCAGCATGTTGATTGTATGATTTCTAAAAATAGAAAAATCTCCGGGATAGAAGAACATTTTTAAAGTTGTGACGTTTTAAACATCGCTAACATTTGAATTTGTGAGTAGTCAATTTCAAAACTAAACAAATCTATTTGCCGGATGTAACATTTAGACGTTTGCCAAATCGACTATTAGTTGAAAAGAAACAACACGCGTTTTGAAACAACACGCGTTATTGCTTCTTAAACACTCATTGATAATCATTCAATTTTTATATCTAGAACTTATATCTAGGTAATAAAAAATGTGCTAAATGTTTCATTTTGAATGCTTTTTGTACAGTTGGTCCTAACATTAAGGCGTCTGTATTTATTTTAAATATTAACCCTGAAATCACCTTGATTCAAATTATGTTAAGGGAACATGACACGTGATTCTTTGAATAATGCGCATAATAACACACATACACAATAATTGTTTTGTGTTACATAAGAATGTATATTCAATACTATTTGAGAATGAATAAACAATACTAACGAATATTTAATACTACTTGAGATTGAATATTCAATATTACCTGCAAATGAATATTAAATAGTAGTTATCATTTTAAGGTAATGAAATACACAGCATTATAAATTTGACAAAATATTTCAAAATGCCACTCATCAATATTTGTTATAAGTTTAATGAAAGAAACAACAGTAAAAGTTGAAAATAAACAAATAAAAGATTAAGCATCAACTTACCCTTACAACTTTACGAAAGGTAGACACGGTAAACAAGTTTGAAACCTAGTAACTTATATAGTGATGCCAAATAGCCTTAGGAACACAGATGTTGCTAATATCGTGTCATCCTTTTTTATAAAGTTTTATTCCCGTCTATTCTCATAAAAAATAATTGATGATGACCCATGAGTGACAATATTATATAGCTGATTGTTTCATCTTTTCCTACGGCATTAGTTTGTTGTTTCAGTGAAAAGAGTGCAAGAGTTTACAGATAAAACCCGTATACGGCATTAGTTTGTTGTTTCAGTGAAAAGAGTGCAAGAGTTTACAGATAAAACCCGTATATTGCGTTTGCTGAAGAAGAAAAGCAACATCTGCTAATTCTATACTTATTGGAATAAAAAAAGACAATAACAATTAAATAACACTTAATATAAAAAAATATAGGTAATAAAATTTAATAATAAAACTTAAAAATAGTTTTATGAATTAAATTCTGTCAAAATTTTGACTTTGTTGAAATTTTCCTATCTGTATGGATATGTATGTTAGATTTAGTGATTGGCCCTTAGATTAACACAGTGAAAATGTACTTTTTTAAATAATAATTATGAATTAAATGTTATATATAATATAAACAACGTTAAGCACTGTTTGTTTTGTTGAGAACAATTCTACCTAATTTATCATTGTAATAAAAAACTAAAAGGCTAGCCTTATGGTGTATAATGATAAACTGCACTAAACAACCCTAAAGCGAAAAAGGTTTCAGGCAGGAAAATGACTGAAAACATAAATGTGATTAATATGCAAGCATCAAAGCAATTTTATTTGCCTTATGGGTCGACCTTGTACTTGATCCATCTATAGACTCTGTGCGTATACAAGTTCAAGGTTGTGTGAATTATTACAGCACTAAAAGAGAATTGATGATGACTGATATTGATTTAGCACCTATTATAGGGTTTCGTTCTGTTTAGGAAAAGTTTACATGTACAGCGGCGATGCATGTTTTGATTGTGTACGATACTACATGTTTGTTAATTTGTTTGACTAATATACATAATATATCAAAACAAAAAATACATTTAGTCTATAAAAGGTTAACGGCAATTATTAATTATTAATTTGTTTATATACAAACAGAATATCTTTCTAAGCTTTGTGTTACAGAGTATAAGATTTGGTTCGTCAATACCATAATAAATCTTGAAAGACGTTTTCTATGAATCTTAAATTTTTTGAAAAAGATAAGATACCTCTGGAACAATGAAAGTTACAGTCTTGGTTTTCAATTTTGCTGTTTTGGACTTTCATTAGGAATAACTATTTTCTCTATCGTTATGATTGTACCTGTACATGTGAGATAATTAAAAGTGCAACATCACCAAAGCCCCTAGCACATGTGTCTTGTTTATAATAGTTATTTTAGATAATTCATTTAATCCTTTTGTATATTTGTATACGTTTATTTTCTAAAACTTTATCTCGTCTTTTACAATACAAAGCTTTATTGTATGATTCATACATATTAAATGTTACGATCCATTCAAGTTATACTTCTATCTATGAAATACAGTTCGTCTTCAATAATTACTGGCTTCGAAAGCTATGATGCAAACTCTTTGTGCAATGTTTCATGGATAACTTATTGTTTGACTGGAAGTAATGTTTTAATACCTTTATATTTGTATGTTTACTTACTGCAGCTAGAAATAGATACCAGGACAATTGTTTTTAAATAATATGTCCAGAAATTGCAATAATTTGTAATTATTACTATTTTAGTTAATTATATTATTTATAGAGACACATTTAAATCATCAAGTTTACCGGCTATGTAACTACAATTCAGTCACCATTTAATAATAGCATAAATGTACGAAACTCAACTTTACTTTCATGTTTATAGACAATAACATGCAAATTATAACATTGGATGAAATATTGCTTTTGGGATTGGTGACACAGTATCTGATGTATTTAGCAGAGTAGCTATGTCATATAAGTTCATATGATTGTGTATCTCATGTATTTTAGAACCTTATTATCATGTTTTGAAATCTTTACATTAAATTTGAAATTTAAATTTTTAGGTGTTTGTTTGCGATTACAAAGTAAAAGTTTGCAAATTATCCATAACGCAATGATACAATATTTGAAAAATTACTGATATACACCCGTTTGCTACTATTATATGGCAAATTTCAAATCTTCAGGTGTTTTTGAGCGTTAACGAAGTATTTGCCAACTAACTCACTCACACATCTTACTAACTCGACACTATTAGACAACTTATTAATGATACTTGAGCACTAAAGTTTGCACCGAATTTGTATTTGCAATGATAATCATACACCTCTGATCGTATCGAATGGTTATCAACCTGAAGTAAATGAAGTAAAAACCATAGATAAATTGGACCTCATAAGCGCATTTGCAAGTTTTGAACTAAAATACATTGTTGTGATATTATTTTTGTCTTTTTTCCCCTTAAAACCAATATAGAATGTTACATCTTTTTGATAAACAAATTAATGACATCTAATTGTAAGATAGTATTGTTTAAGCGACGTGCAGATCAAACAACTTTCAATGTGTATTAGCCCGTATTTATTGGAAACAATTTGAAATTTTATTTTGTACCTTATGTTTAGCGTTTTATTCCATACAAATGGCAGCAAAGCTCAAAGAGTATTTTCAGTATTGATCTTCTCATAGAAATTCATATTTTTAGGGAAAACGTCCATTATTTTTCTTTTCCTGAAAGGGGAATTCTGTTCTATCTTTGTCGTCTAGATAGTGGTTGAATCAATTTCCGGTGTTTAGTGATTTATTACATTTTTAATTCGTTTTCTTGCTTCGAAAATTGCACCATACATTTAACAAATAACCACTTTATGATTTATACCATATAATAGTATCGCTCAAACGTGTTTTTTTCATGATAGTTGATACGAAAATCGCTCGATCTTTCTTCTGCAATATATGATGTTCTGAAGAACAGTTAGTGGCATCTTAAGGTTAAGGTAATATATTGATGTTATGTATTCGTTTGAACTTTTTGAAAATTGGTCTTTGTATTATTACATATATAACATAACGGTCTGTGAAATTCTGACTACAAAAAGTTTTTATATGTATTTAAAAAAATACTAATCTTTTTGCATGCATCATTTTATTATTTTCAAGTGAACAGAAACACGCGATAATCTTTAAATTGATATGTTTTTAAGTATAGCCAAAAGAACAAGGGTAGTAAGTAATTTGCTTATCATTTGAAGGACAACATTTGTGTTTAAATTAAGCTTTTTTTGGTCTGCTTAACATCGCACCAACCCTGTAAATATCAAATGGCGACATTTTAGCTTTACTAGTGGTGAAAGACATAATGTGCACTCCGTGCACTTTTTCAGGCACGAACGAGCACTTGATTAGAACCACCAACGTTCCGTAAGCATATGCATGCTAGTCAGTTTCCTTACGTGAAATAATCTTTGACGGGATTCAAACCCACAGGGGCAAGTGGTTTAAAGTCAACGAGTATAAAGTAAAGTATCTTGTTTTCTATGTAATTATTGATAATTTAATCGTGACAATGACTTTATCATTTGAATTTAAGCATATATTGTCATCAAACTATTACCAACAACAAAGCTTTAAAGTGACATCGTCAGATCCAGTATACACAGCATCCTCGTGATACTTTTCACTTAGTCTTTATTTCTTGTTGTACTTCAATTACAAGATACACACTTATTTCCTTAAAATACTTATATTTATAATTTAATACAGGTAAAATGGAATACCCGAAGAACTGTAAAAAATAATAAAAAAAACATCAATATTCTTATAAATTACTTCCTTTTTAATAAAACCTGGTCGTTGATAAAAAAGAAAAATACCCAAAACGGTTGAAGGCTCGGGTTATATGAGCTTGTTCATGGACATTAGCGGTAAATGCAAGCTAACGTCCAGACCCCTACCAACAACTTCAATCAGATTCTAATTCGGGCCCAAAATGTTGGCGAAAGCGAAACCTTGTCTTTTTTACTTAAAAGATAATGTTTTTTGAATTTTAGGCACCACAAAAACCGATAATGCGTTTAATATTGATAGTATTATACAGTCAAATTCCGACCGTATAATTTAATTTTTCCATTTTAAATTTTTTGAAATTTTAAAAAAACATTATTATTTCGACGATTTAATCATTAATTGTTATTATGATGAATGATAGAAGATAATTTTGTTTTTTGAAGACATTTATAAATAATTTTTTCTTTTAGTTTAATTTCTTTTTATCAAGCACACTCACTAATTTAAATGAAAGATAAATTTTATTCATTTAAGCAAGGGCCAGGACTTAAGGTGTTTTCGCACTTGGTTCGAAATTTTCAAGCAAGCAAACTAGTTGCAAACGTGAAAAAATAGCTACGGATTCATGAAATTAAAGGACACTCGCTCGTACTGTCTCCAAGTTAATGGGTATGTGTGTTATTTTGAAATTATATGACATGCCATTCATTAAAGCAACGTTTATAACACGCTCGTTTTGTTTTCAGCTTCCTAGCTTCTGATTTGACGGAGTAATTAAAGATATCAACTGTCACTTAGATTATGTTTATCTCAATCTGAATTAGTAATTTAAAAACAAATTTTTTATCACATTTGTATAGAATACCCTGTAGCAAAAACATCGATTTTATCTAAAAATATTTAAATTTAAATATATTAATAAACATCATGCATTATCATGTTTATTACAAATGCCCCTTTCTTTAAGCAAACGTTCTTGACGACACATTAGCTATATTACAGTCGATCAGTTAAGCTTTTGTTTTCTCTCGGAAAACAAGTTTGCATTGTTTCATACTAAGTATTTCAGTAATCTTATTTTGGGAAAGTGCATCATATCCTTGCAAAGCCTTTTCAAAACAGCGTCACTACAGCTATTTATAACTGGCCAGTGACGTTTTTTTCTGAACAAAAAAGATTGGAAAACGAATCGTCCGCTTAACTAATTGAAATATCGAGAACGGACCGGTAGAT